ATAGTGAGATTCTGTCTCAAAAAAAAAAGGGGGGGGTGGCGCCTGTGGCTCATGAGTAGGGTGCCAGCCCCATGTACTGAGGGTGGTGGGTTCAAACCTGGCCTCGGCCAAACTGCAACAAAAAATAGCGGGCATTGTAGTCCCAGCTACTCAAGAGGCCCAAGAGCTGGAGGTTGCTGTGAGCTCACTCTACCTAGGGTGACAAAATGAAACTCTCTCTCTTAAAAAAAAAAAAAAAAACAACAACTACTGAATAAAATATACCTTTAAATCAATAGGCACTGGATTAATTTCCCTGAAATTATCAACATAGTTACCAAAATCTTCCAGGATTTTGTGAACTGTCATGTTTAGTTATAAAAAAAGAAATACAAAGGACTGAAACAGATAGCCAAACTTAAGCGACAATATAAAACTCTGAGATTAAAATACCATTTTCAACCAACAGATTGGCAAAGATTAAAACATTTGATGACACTGTTTATAAAGATTCAAGAGGCTTGGTGCCAGTAGCACAGTGGTTACGGCGCTAGCCACATAACATCGAAGCTTTTGGGTTCAAACCTGGCTTGGGCCTGCTAAACGACAACCACAACAAGAAATAGCCAGGCCTTGTGTGGGCGCCTAGCGTCCCAGCTACTTGGGAGGCTGAGGCAAGAGAATAACCAAGAGTTTGAAATTGCTGTGAACTGTGACGCCATAGCACTTTATTGAGGGTGTCTCAAAAAAAAAAAAAATTTAAGGAAATAGGCACTCTCACATATTATGTTTTTATGTTTTAACTTTATGTTTTCTTGTAAGAGTTTTATAGTTTCAGGTTTTACATTTTTCTGGAAAAAATTCAAGTAGAAGTCATTAAATGATATGTGAATACTCAGTTTTCTTTTGCTTAAGTAGAAGAGAATACAACTACGTAGGCTCGGTGCTTGTAGCTCAGCAGCTAGGATGCCAGCATACGCTGGGGCTGGTGGGTTTGAACCTGGCCTGGGCCTCCCAGACAATGGGCCTGTCAACTACGACGACAACAAAAAAAATAGCCAGGCATTCTGGTAGGCACCTATAGTCTCAAGTACTAGGAAGGCTGAGGCAAGAGAATCTCTTAAGCCCAAGTGTTTGAGGTTGTTGTGAGCTGTGACACCATGGCACTCTACCGAGGGCCACATACTGGGACTCTGTTTAAAAATAGAACTATATACTCTGAGATGTGTTAAGACTGGGAAAATATCTATGCCTGGTGTGGGATTTGGGATGAAACTCTAAATGTACCTAAATCTGCCATCAAAGCATAGCATCAAAGCACTTCTACTATGTTTTTACAGAAAACAAGAACAAAAACTTCTCCCTTCTCTTGCCTATTAATCAGAGGAAGCTGCAAACCCCGACTCCCCAAGCAGTGAGCAGTACTGTGAAAACACTACTTCGGGCTTGGCGCCTGTGGCTCAAGTGGCTAAGGCGCCAGCCACGTACACCTAAGGTGGCGGGTTCGAATCCCCAGCCCAGGCCCGCCAAACAACAATGATGGCTGCAACCAAAAAATGGCC